CATTTAGACTAAACGCCAATAAAGATTTTACCCCCTGTCTGGATTTCGGTTTCCACTGCGCCACACCCACCACCACCTGTGCTAGAGTATGAATCCTACTTTGGAGGCGGCTGCAATCCCAATGGTTGGTTTGCGGGCAAGTCCGAACATATATGAACTAACTTCCCCTTAGTTCATATGAGCGACCTGTAAAAATATCAGTCTTGTGGCCTAATCTGGAATAAGGCAGTTCTAAACCAGACTCCTGGAGTATCCCTCCAGTCGTTCGGTATCCCGAAATCGGTACCCAATACGAGTGAGTATGAAAACAGTAATGCTGCAAATGTAGAGATATTATAAATTTTACGAATAAGGATAAATAAAGAGGAAAAATATATGTAATGCTTGCTAGTACTTTAAAACTTCTCACCGAAGTTAATGATAGCCAGTCAAACCACAATGTGTTGATACCTCCGCCTGCATCTAAATTAAGTCTTTCTCGTTCAGGCTTGTCTCGTCACCATAGATCTGCAACCATTTTGCATTTTCCTATCTCATTGATCAATTGGCCTGATTCTACTAGGATAAAAGTAAAAGTACAAGGGAAAGCTAAACAAAGTTAATTCTGATAAAGTAAATTTTCAGGTCTAACAGCAACAGTATTCATATTAAAGTTAAATCTGGCCTGCAATAATACCACCTACAAGATACTCAGACAGCCGTTACTAAGCACTTTATCGTCAAGGGTATACAGCTGACTTCAAATGTAGGTAAAAATTATGAAGGGACATACAGGCCAAGATGGTCTGATATGTGTTTGGTGGCAGCCTTCTTTAACTTTCTAGTTTTATTTAATCTGGTTTTCGCAAATTGGTCGGAGCGTCAGGGAGACCATGTGGAAAATGCCCAGTCCTGTGTCTTCTGCCATGGTGTTCGTAATTTCCAGCATCAGACCCCATTGATTTGTTACATTCCCAGACGTTTCAATTCTTGTCAGTTCCGATGAGTGGTAACTATGTGCTAGCGATGCCGGCGGTAAAGTCTGGGGATGTACCAGGTCAATCTGAGCTCCTGGTGAGCTGGTGAGCTGGTGAGCTTAGGTTCTGTAATTGTCTTATTAATAGATCGCAACGTCAACTAGGAATTTATTTCACATTAAAGCCATTTGTCATAAATCTTAATTAAGTGCCAGTTACTGTAGAAGCCAAGCCTTGGTTGAAAGTGAGTTCGTGAACACTTGAAGAAGAGGATCCGTCTTACGTTTTCTATCAAATTTATTAATGCATTGATTCTTTTCCAGTAGTTCTGATGAAAACTTCGCTTCCAAAAAGTCAAAATTTTTAACCCTTTGATTTGACAGAGAGCGGGGAAGGATCCTTAGATTAGTCTTGGATATCGTCTGATGGTCAGTTTAAGCTAAGCACTATGGGTACCATACTAAACCTTGGTTATGGTGCTTTTATGATATATACACTATTATGAATGAAATTCTTAGCAAAGTGCATGAAGAAGCATACTATAAAAAGGCATCAAGGCATTCTTCACTTAGTTTTGGCCCTAATTTGGTCTCTGTAGTCAAGACTCCGATATTAACTCTACCTTTGATACAATGAAATTCACGACGCTATGGATACCAAGAGAGTATTTTCATCCATGATGGGCTAAAATTCTATCTTCGCTTGGGTGTCCTCGTCATTCAAGTGGGATTCGAGTTAATGGCAAACTATGATGACGAGACAAGCCTGAACGAGAAAGACTTAATTCAGATGCAGGCGGATGTATCAACACATTGTGGTTCGACTGGCAACCATTACCTTCGATTTTCAAAGAGGTCAATCGACAAACCTCTTGTTCCCAAATTTCTATACTAAATTAAAGCTGCAGATGTATGCGGTATTCCGTGGCCTCAACCTGATTACCTCAATTATATATACAAATCAATCTTATGTTTATCCGTGTTTTCCCCGTTATTGTCAGAGCGATTGAAGCATTGGGTCCTTTTGTTGCCCGATTGCTAACATTTGGCATTTCTTGGATAGACCACCTTACGACCAAGATGAATCTGTAACGAGCATTCATTGTCATCATATTAAACACATTCATCTTAGGATGCACACAGCAACATTTCTTCATTTTTTGTAGATATAACGTAGATTATTTGAAGAGCTTGACTATATTCAAGTAAATTCATTTTCAGAATATTGTAAATACTTTTATATCAAAACTTTATAGATATGATGAGTAACTGGGTTTCGATGAACCTCCCGAGATAACATAGTTGAGGAGACCTCCATTTGATATGAAGTGCTGAAAACCGTTGTACTGCAGCCGTTTGGCTTTAATACGACGTTCAGTTTGACGCAGTCCACGAGACATCCTCCCTCGCTTTGGGTGAAAATGTGCTGAGCTCTAGTCCATCATACGATGGACGTCAGCAGAGCTGGAATTCATTCTTGTTAACATGAGACTCTTACAATAATGAGTTCCGGCTCTGATGATGTCCATCTTATGATGGACTAAAGCTCAGCACGTTTTCACCCGAAGCGAGGGAGGATGTCTCGTGGACTGCGTCAGCCTGAACGTCGTATTAAGGCTAAACGACTGTAGTACAACGGGTTTCAGCCGTCGTCTTCGGGTGGGATCAACCTACGAACCTCTTCTTTATGCACTTTCATACCAACTCAAGGTCTCCTCAAAACAACTTTATTTAGGCTCATAAAGGCTTGAGCATTGTATGTGCTTCCGTCGGTATATTTTCTTCGTTAATTTACGATTCGCATCTAAATATTAACGGAAAATTTGGGCTTTAAATTTCGACTCTTTGCATTTTATCATTTTCGATTTATATTGAAGGGGCATTATCAATGAATATGTTTAAATATATATTGAGCCTACAGTGAATAAGGCTACTATAATTCGAAAGTTTTTGCCCCTAGTCTTTATCAATTCAATGATTTCACTTGGATTTATTTGTTGTTATGCGCGAAAATCAGAAATGAGTGGTCTAACTGTAACATAATGGCATATTTAGTTTATGTGAACAGGATTGGTCTTAGCTCTACAGAATTAAGTATATATATTTATCTATATAATTAGGCTATACTTATTAAGTTAAATAATTAAATTAAATGTTCGCTTGTATCCGCTTGTATACCCACATTAATTGATATATGTGTGTACGTTTTTGCATACGAATATGCATATCTACAGTACAAGTGTGGTTTTATAGTTTCATAGTAATGTGAGGGAGATATATATATATATCCCTTAAACTACTAGGAAACTATAAAGCCACACTTGTACTGTAAATATGCATATTCTTATCCAAAAATGTACACACGAATATATATCTATAGGTATGGGTATACAAGCAAATAAAAGCGAAAATTTAATTTAATTATTTATCTTAATAGAAAAATCGTAATTTGCATACTCTAACACGCTCAATTTTACATATACATACGTACGCATTCGTTACGCTGTTAATTCATGTTTACTTGTGGTGATGTGTGTATGCAATAATGAAAGGACAGTATTCCATGATATTTTGCTACTATTTCTTCATGAATGATATGGCGGAAGCTCATGAGCACAAATGTCAGACTAATTTTCATCAGTCAAGTTAAAGTGCCGAACTAATGAAAAAATAAGCGAATCAATCACTCAAACATGCAAGTAGAATTGATTATCATAGTCAGATATCGTCTGGCTTCCTAAATGCAAAAGTTTTATATTAAATGTGATCTTGCCGCCGATTTGACTGTGCCTTCTACTCCCTACCTCGTTCGGCTTATTTACGCAGCTTTTTGGTGGAGCATTCATCATTCAACATATACATATATATATATATGCATGTATTTATGTATGTGTGTATGCATGCATGTGTGCATGTATGTATGTATGTATGTATGTATGTATGTATGTATGTATGTATGTATGTATGTATGTAT